GTTTGACATCAGTGGAGATGATAGGTTTAGGGAAATCATCAGGGTGTACCATATCTAATGCAAACAGTAATAGAAAATATTAAAAAACAAACTCAAATAAACACTGAAACCAACTTAATGTACGCAATAAGGAATGAAATAAATTATCTTTACCTTAAATTGCAACTTCTTTTGCTCTTTTTGATGTGATGAAACACAAGATTGCAGTTTTAGAGTGCAAATCTTGTTTGAAAATGGATGGATTTTTTGCAAGGATTTTGATACAAAATGGAAGTTGATCATAGAGAATAAAATCATGTAGGGTTATGTTTTATTAAATATTACATTTGATTGTTCCAAAAATGCACTTTCAAAATTTTGATTGACATGCAAAGGTGGCAGATTTTTAAATTCTCACTTCACAACTCTAGAAATGCATTTTCAGATTTATCACTGAGTTGTTAAATTAGTAATAAGTTATTTGGTGGATTCCATATATGCATCTCCAAACTAAATTTTGGAAATAAAATTAGGGTATAACTCAGTTGTAACGTGCTTCAATGCAACTTTGGGTGCGTTCGAATATGTATCTCCAAAATTAGATGGCCATTTTCAAATTTTCATAGGGTGTTGTCCCATAAAAATAGATAACGTATTTTAACAAGAATAGGAGAAAGTCTTGCATGGGCTCAATATTTGAGCATTTAACTTGCCACCCTCAAGTTGAACCTGGCACTCCCCCCCCCCCCCCCCCCCCCCCAGTGAATGAAAAGACCGTCATATCCTTACTCATATATTCCACCATTTGAAAAATTCACTCAAACGAACTGAGATTTTTGAAATCTCCCAGGCAATACCGATAATTTCAAGTCGATACTGGAAATTCTTCAAAAAAATGAGTAAAATACCAGAAAAGTGGGAATTACCAGAAGATTTTTTCGAAAATTTTAGAATTTCCGACAAATTTTACCATAAATTATGAAAATTTTGATATTTTGTACAAGCAATTTCATAATTTTTGGAATTTATTTAGGTCATGTTACCATAAATTTTGGAATTTCTGGTAGTTCAAAAAATTTTGAAAATTTTCGGTGCATTCTTTTTTCACTAATTTTTTTTGTCATTTTTCCATTTTTCAGTGAGGACCAGGGCTGCTGAGGCAGAGGCTTCCCAGCTATGGACTGGACGAGTTACCCCAACCGATTCTCACCAGAAATGGTTGGCTGAGCTGGCGAAGAGCCAGTTCCGTGTACCCTAGCGCTGAGTTTTTAGAGTTGTTGTTGAGGAGGTACCTCCACCTGAGGAGGTTCTTGTTATTGTGGTTGCGGATGAGGATTTTTCTATGCTGGTTGCTCAGGAGGAGGTTCCTGTTGCTCAGGAGGTTCATGTGTCGATTATAGATGCAAAGGAGGTTCCTATTGACGATAATGATGCTCATACTGATTCAGATGCTATGACTCGTGCTTCTACAGAGGCATCTGTTCACATTGGTGGAGCGTTCCTAGGAGGATCCAATGATCGATCAGTGCTCACGGAGTATGTTGACCATGTCACATACAGATTATAGCAAGGAGGGGTATATATGTTATATTTTTAATTGCAAATTATTTATTATTGTTTCGGTGATGTGTTGAAAGTTTATTGATAATTTTTTAAATTTTGTTTCTTACAGGAATGCCTGACGCTGAAGGTTACATCCCATGGTTCGAAGATGAAGAACTTCCCAACTGAGTCTGATTCCTGAGTAGGTCAGGCATATTGTTTTTTATTTTAGCCTTATGGAGTTTGCCGACTGCTCACTGACCATGCTCGACACTTCACTTCTGTATGCTTTTGTTGAGTGGTGGCATAAGAAGATATCTTTCATTTGGGGAGATGACTATCACTTTGGATAGTGCCTCATCCATGTTTCATCTCCCCGTTGCTGGTAGATTCTTTATTACTCCCATCATTAACCATATGACAATGTTGCTATAGGTTGTAAAAGATCTACAAGTCACTGAGGAAGACATGCTAGAAGAGTTTGATTTTAACAAGGGAGCTCATATTCTGATGTCTTAGCTTCGGGACTGGTACCATGAGCTTGTGGAGGCACATATGTATGAGGTTGCCGTTATGGTGTACATGCAACATCTAATGGCATGTACTCTCTTTGCGAATAAGTCTCATGTTTATATTGATGCTCGGTACTTGTGATTGTTCAGTAGCCTAGAGAGTAGCAGTTGGGCTTGGGGAGTAGCTACATTGACCATGTTGTATAAAGCACTTGGAGTTGTGATTGTATTTGAGACCATACATCTTGCTAGTTATTTCAGTTTATTCTAGGTATACGAGCATTTCTTAATTGTTCTTATTCAATTTTTATTTGTGACATTAATTAATTTTTATTTCTCCAGTACTAGATATACGAGCATTTCCCTAACATATGTGATAGAAGAGTGCAAAATGCTCCAGCAGGTGCCCCATCAAGGTGCTGTTGCAGAGTACATGGGGAGGCTTGATGCTCGGAGAGTAGAGGATGTCATTTAGACAACATACATAGCTCATCGAGCCCACCGTGAGTTTGTCGAGTTTTTTTAATATTCAGGTTATATGAGGTGGAAAACCTTAGTGGCTAGACACTTGCCTAAAGGTGTCTGCGGCTGTATGATTATGTCTAGGGCATCCCACGACCAATTCTGGAGACTACAGTTGAGGGCATTGACAGATAATTTTAGAGTAACATCATCAGCTTTGCATGTGCCATTAAGGCTAGCGTAGTGATGGTTCAACACCTTTCACAATATGAGAATGGTTACCTAGAGTGGTATCTCACTATATCACACCCTCGCATCATACAACATATTGTAGTGTCTTTCGATATTGGGGGCCTTCTGATGCTGGGGTTTCTGAGGCTGAGGTACAAGCTGACGACGTGCCGCCACCACCACCTCCATTAGGCACAAATGACTAAGAGCGCATGCAGATGATCGCTTAATATTATGGATAAACTCGTGGGTTTGGTAAACGCATATGATGAGGTTTTTACTGGATCTCGGGCAGCACACATAGCTCGTGGGGGACCTATTTAGTTATTTCATTTGATAGTTGTATTATATGTATATTTTGTGACTCAGACTACTTAGCACAATATTTTTTATTACATATATTTTGTTGATTACATGTTTCGATGATGAACATAACTTAAAACATTACAACAAACATAAATTAAAATAACGAAACATGAAAACCTAGACACTACTAGATGACTCAGGACGTTTCAGCATCTTGATTAAGTCGTCGACGGATCTCAAAATTTTTGCATCAAACTCGATCGCCCCCTTAGTTATCCTACGATGAAATGATTTCCACATGATCATTACATCTTCATCGATCTTCAACTCAACAAGGTTGATTTCACCTTGCCATTAGTATCAATCCAATCTTCACGAAACTTGATCTTTCTCACCCTTTTGTTATCGCTATCAGGCAACAATTCATTCAATTGAATGTCAAGTTGGCGAGAGATGTGGTGTCATCAAGTAGCTTGAACTCAACAAGAGGTTTGTCTCCATTAAAATACATTTTTACCTTAATAAGAAATTGAGGAAGAAACATTTTAACATGTTTTTCTAAACAACAGATGACTCTTATTTATACAATTTTGATTTCACTCTGGACCACACAAAATTGTCAGTTTAATCATGACCCTACAAAAGTGTCGACAAAATCCTAATCATTATAAAATCTTGAGTAAATACACTATCGAAAATTTCAAATTGTGCCAAATTTCTAAAATGAAATAGCACATTTTGAAATTTTCAAAGTACCAGAAATTTTTAAACTTCTGTAAAAAAATTTCATTCAATTATTTTATTCTCTTTTTATAGAAGACATTTTTGACATTATGAAAATATTGAGGTGCCACGTTTAAATTTTAGAATGACAAGTTAAATCCTCTCCATATTTAAACACAAAATTTAGACACGCTCATAAAATAAAAAGATTTAAAAAATGAAAATAATTAAATAATATATAATTTTGAAATACTTAAATGATATATAATTTTATGTATGTATGTCTAAATGATTAGAGAGGAGTTTTAGTTCAATCTTATCATTTGAATTAGACAACTACAACTACTCTAGTGGTAGGTAGATGTAGGCACATTTAACTAAACTACCTATATGTTTGTTTTCGTGGTGGATTGTTTATCAAAAGCTAAGATTTTCAACTTCATTAAAATCAGTGGGAGTACATTGGAAAGCGTAAATAGCAATACAAAGGTAGACCCAAAAATACTAGTAAACAAATATCATGTATATTACTTGAGATTTCCATTTTCATACTTGTATCTTTCATCTTTTTGAGGAAGCAACAAATAAAACATTAAGAAAAAACAAAACAAAACAACGAACTCTACACTCTACACTCTTAAGTTGTTCAAGTTCAAAAACTTTAGCATCGTTCAAATTCAAAACTCTATAGCATATTTCTCAAACAAGCATAACATCTATTTACATTAATAAGTACATACAATTACTGAAATCTATATAGTCTTGAATGATCATGTAAAATTCTATCACAATTCACAAACATGTATTAACACCACGTTTTTCTTCTTTACAAAAAATCTTTATAAAAGTAAAGTTCAGAAAGTAACGTTTCCTCTTTTGAAACCTGCATATATATGACAGTTTGTTTTCCCCATTATATCAATCTAGTATTTAATATACTATAAAGTACCAACACAGACACGAACACAAGACATGACCCAGACACATAGACACCAATATTAATTTTTGAAAATAAAAGTAATTAAATATAATCAAACGTGTCAATATTAGACACTAACACATGTCTGACACGCTGTACATAGTTACCATAGTTTGAGATTAAACAATGTAACAAGATTTTGTCTTTAACAAGTCCCACGGGTTTAGAGAAACTCTGATAAAAAAACAGTTGATGTTGAAATAATGGCTTAATTTGAGTGAACTGAATGAACATGATAGAAAATTTAAGTTACCAAACATTCATTTTTAGGTAGGTTTCGGAGACTTGCTATAACGAGGATATGGAGAGCCGTTACCGTAATTTGAACTCGACAACGTCCTAACAGGCTGACCCTTTTTCGGTAAAGATGCTAAATCTGTTCTAACACTGTTTTTAGGATTCGGCATGGACATGGTACGATCAACTCGCGCGACCTTGAATTGATGAGATGATACAGCCATATCCTTAAGGTTTGGCAAAGGCTTTAAAGCTTGAACAATATCACTCATCAAAGGTCTAGATTTTGGGTCGCGGCTAAGGCATTGAGCAGCCAGCTGTGCTGCTTGCTGTGCTCCTTTAACTGAGAAGTGACCTTCGAGACGGGGATCGATTATTCGGTAGAACATCCTCCTGTCTCCAAGTATAGGTCTTGCCCATTCCACAAGATTGTGCTCTCCGTTTGGTCTTTTCTTGTCAATGGATCGTCGGCCGGTGAGCATTTCGAGAAGTACTACTCCAAAGCTGTAGACATCACTTTTCGATGACAAATGTCCTAAACAAAATTAGTAGTTTCAAGTTAATTTCAAAATTTACAAAATAAATATCAAAATTAAGTAAATTATTCGGTTTAAGAAACATAAAAACTCAAAAAAGAACGAGGAAGGCTCAAAACTTACCGGTCATCACATATTCCGGAGCAGCATAACCATACGTTCCCATTACTCTTGTTGATACATGTGTTTTTTCACCCTCGGGAGCATCTTTAGCGAGTCCAAAGTCAGAAAGCTTCGCGTTGTATTCCTAAAAGCATTTTTTAGCTGAGTTTTGGATCGGAAGATGAATAAGAAATAATTAAATCGTCTTGCATATTTATTCCACTTACATACCGCATCTAATAGAATATTAGATGTCTTGAAATCGCGATATATCACGGGCCTTTGAGCTCCTTCGTGGAGAAAAGCAAGACCTTTTGCAGCACCAAGCGCAATTTTCATTCTGATTGACCAAGGTAGAGGCAACGGCCCTTCATCAAAGAACATGGTTGTTACTTGACAAACAATTAATCCTTATACAATAAAAGTTTTTTAAGATCGTAAAACAAAAGCACAAATGTTCAGATAAACAACTTAATTAAGCACTTGGCATATAAGTGCTTATATATAAACTATTTTTATAACATAAGTTATTTCAACTCGAGAGTATATTTACACACAATAGAAATAAAAAGGTTAGTAGCGTACTTCTGAAGAGGTGATTCTCCAAACTTCCTCGCGGCATAAACTCGTAAACCAATAATCTTTGGTCATCTTCTATACAAAAACCTATCAATTTAACAAGATTAGGATGAACAAGATCGCCGAGATAGTTTAATTCAGCCTGAAAAGTAGTTAAGAAAAAAATGAGAATTAAGAAACACAACAAACATTCGAAAGCAAAATTTTGACGAGGATATATAAGTTCCGTTTCTTACAAGCCATTCTTTGTGACCTTGATGTCCATTATGATTGAGAATCTTAACAGCAACCGTAAGTCCGGTACCCGGTTTCACTGGCGCAGTTCCATTCACTTCAATCCAACCTTTGAAAACACAACCAAACCCTCCCTCACCTAGAAGACTCTCCGGTCTGAAATTCCTAGTTGCTACCTTAAGTCCATTGAATGTGAATTTTCTTAAACAAGAAGCAAACTTTAACTCCTCGCTGAATTTCGAAGTCGAGGAGATACTTTCACCATTACTAGTTGTTGTAGATGAATCTGCAGGAGCACTTGAATCCTTTGTGTCTGTTTCAAATACAGATTTGTTTTCCTCTGATTGAATTACAACTGACTTGACATTATCACCTAAACACGAGAAAAAGGAAAAAAGAAAAGAAAAAAAACAACAAATCAAACGCTTTTTTTATTTGTGGGAAGTGATAATAACCACTAGAAACTCACACACAGAACCGTGAGGTCCAGATTCAAACCTAGGCGTTGGGTTCAACCTAGCAATATAGACTTTAACCATTTGAGCTAGGATTTGCAAACACAAATCAATCGCTTGTTTTTATCGGCAGGCGAAGTGCTAATAACCACTGGAAACTCAAGCACACAACTCTAAGGTCCAAATTCGAACCATAGTGTTGGCGTTCAACCTAACAATATATACTAACCATTTGCGGGACACAAATCAAACGCTTTTAATGATTGATTGAATCAAGAAACTAAACATGCATTTAATAATGAATCATATAAACAAAATCCTATATATATATTTTTTGTAGCCACCTAAAATTGATATGAAATGAAACATAATTTCTAAATCTAGAAAACTATAATATGAAAAGAAAAATTACCATTTTGTGTACTAGTAGTAGCATTGCAAAAAATTGAGTTACTATCAATTTTTGATGTTGAAGATTTGCAACATCCAATGAAACTGAATCTAAACCGCCATCTTCTCTCTTTCTTTACAACATCAACCTTTGACTTATCAACATCCAAACTCCCTGCTTTAATTGCATTCTTTTTCCCAAACCCCATCTTCTAAAATCTCTCACAAACAACTTCTCATACCAAAAAGTCTCAAACTTTATATCAAAAACCAAAAAAAAACATCAAAAAAAAAACTCATAATCATGATCTACTATACAAAACAAGAACAATATCATAGTATTGAACCATGCTATAATATTAAGGATCAAACAACATATGTGACAAAACCCATTTGAGAATTACGACAAATTCTTAAGAAAAGTGGAATTTTGAGGGGAGAGAGAGAGGGTTGAGTGGGAAAGCGGGAGAGAGTGCTTGTAACAGAGGGAAAGGTTTTTTCTTTACGGGCAGTTTGGGCAGGATTGAAATATGAAAAGTGGGGAATTGGGCAGTATGGGTAAGAGAGAGAATAGGACAACAATATCATTTTTTTTTGTCTTTGGAAACAGTATATGCCACTTGGTTAATTTGCAAGTATACTACTATGTATGACTTTGATTTTGTTGCTCTTTGAATTATTCCACCCACTATGTTGTTATTTCCATGTGGAAAAACTATTTATAAGTAGCCAAAATAGTAAATTAAATAGATTAATAATCAATATGTTATATTATATATCCTATTAGTACTCCTATATAGATCTATTACTTTATTATGTTACTTTCTATTAAAAATAATGGATTTTACAAAAATAATTGTATTTTAAATAATTTTTGAAAACAAGAACTCAAAATTATTAGGTGAACTTTTTTTTGAATATCATGTAATCCAATTCACAAAGGAAGAGATATTGGAATAAATCATTGTCATGGTGCCCTCATGTTTTTAAAAGGTTGGGTTAAGTCATTATATGGCACATAAATGTCATTGAAATCAAATTGTGTTCTTTAGTATATAACTATGTCTGTGTTTCACAAATAAAATAACATAATCCAAATAAGAATTTGATTTATATAATCATTATTGTATTGATTTTTTTTTTAATAATCACTTTTTTTTTAATTTTTAAATAATTATTTTTTTCAAAAAAATTATTAAAGTAATCATTTTTCAAACAAAAAAATCGTCATACAGAAGGTCAAACCACTATGTGTGACGCATACATGTAAATTATAGAAGAAAAGCCACAATGTATGACTTGTCCTCATATGTAGTGTCATGCAGTATGACGCATGCATGTACCTTTTAAAGAGGAGGCGCCACTTTAGGTGGCTTGACAGTTGTTTTTAATTTTCTATAAATATAACCACCCATCTTCACCATTTTCACACATCTTTTCACATCACTCTTAAAAATATATTCAAATTCATTGTCAAGGTTTTCACTAATCAAAAGAGATGCTCATGTTATTTTTTCGTCGACAAAGCCTTCGATGAAGATCAAACTGTGGAACACGCAAGCGTTCGAGCATTTTCAGAGGCACTTGATTCGTTGGTTAGAAGGAGACATTCTTGATGGTGAACAAATCAGGAAAATTGGAAGGCAAATTACAGTAAGGAACGAAAATGGAGTAACTCGTTCATGGAAAATCGTGAAAACGACGTTGATGTCCTTATGATGATGCTTGGACTAGTTGATATTGTATTGATGGTGTAATCTCCTAGTTATTACGATGTGTTTAGTTATTTTGTCTGCTTGTCGTGTTGTTGTATTTTGTGTGGTTGTCTTGAGTTTGTCGTGTTGTAACTTTTTGGGTCATTGTCTGAATGTTAACTTGAAAACGAAATTAAAAGTCGAATTTATATTGAAATATCTTGCTTACAACAAGTAAATTACTCTAGAAAGTTTGACATATAAAAATTATGTTGCTGAGCTAGACCCAATATTCAAATAATTTTTTCGATTGTGTCCGGGAAGACGACATGTACTGCATAATCTTATCATTTTATTTGTCGTATCCATTTTAGTTCTAATATGTGTGTTGTTTGGGCGGCCATTTTTCTTCATTTGCATTTGTTCATTGTGTCAAACAATGTCCCCTTGATAAGCAGACCAATAATCATCCTTTGCCAACACGGAGAAGGTATTGATGTACACACTTAAAATGTTATCGACTGTGTAAACGGGGGATATATGTCCTCTTGGGTCCAAGCGAAAATGCGAATATGTCGCTATGACATGAGAGCAAGGCATGTGAAATGCTTGAAACTTTCCACAATCGCACCAACTTCTATCTAGTTTGACCCGATAGTATCCCTTTGGCCTCCCCTCATTATGGTCCATTGTCTCTTATACACTGAACCAACCTTTAATACGGTCAAACACAGTGACACCGTGAGTGTTAGCTTTGGCAGTCTCCTCGTTAAATGGTTTCATTGTGCATTCACTGAATAATTGCCTTGATTGTAACACTGTCCTCCATTTTAAACTTCTTGTATCGAACAATGACCCCAACCTAAAATATGTTACTTTAACCAATGCAGTAATTGGTAGGTTTCATATGCCTTTGATGATAGAATTCATTGATTCCACCAAATTTATTATCATGTGGCCCCATCGTTGACCATTATCAAATTACAGGGTCCACTTTTCCACTGGAATGTTATTGATCCACCTTAACGCTTCTGAGTTTGTAAACCAGATTTCTTCGTGATAATGTTGGAATGATAGTTCTATTAAGGCATACCCTACATTAACAACTTTCTTTCAAAGCGTCTTGTCTTTGATATGGAGCATGGAGTTTTGTGTTATATGTCTAATGCAATAGAGATGTGTTAAAAGGGAATCATGCCAACCGTTATCAGGGTTATTATATGCACTCACAATTGATGGATGTCTGTCTGAAATCAAACAAAGGTTGGGTTGGGGAGCAATGTGTAATCAGAGATTCTTCAGAAAGAAATTCCATGCACCACTTGTCTCACCTTCTACTAGAGCAAAGACAATCGGAAAAACATTATTGTTGCCATCTTGTGCCACTGCCATGAGTAATGTTCCTTTATACTTTTCGTATAACCAAGTTCCATCAATTTGTATAATAGGTTTGCAAAATGCAAAACCTTTGATGTATGGTTCATACGCCCAGAATAGTCGATGAAATACTCCATTTCCACTAACATGAGTTCTGTCTGGGGTAAATGTCAGGAGTGTCTCCAAAATTATAACAATTCCTGGAGCATAATATTTGAGTGCCACCAAAAATATTGTAAGTTCTTTGTATGATTACTCCCAATTACCGTAGACAAGTTCAACTGCCTTAGTCCTCGCGGTATATGCCTTTCTGTAAGAGGGAGTATAACTGAATCTTGTAACGATGTGAGAAATAGTAGTCTACCGAAATCTTATTGATCATGTTGAACCCGAAGAGGTATTAAGTTTACATATTTTATACAATGCTTCCAACATGTTAATTAAGTTTAATATTAATATTAGATTAACTTATTTTCCCTCTACAGTTTGTATGGAGGCCGTATAAGGATCTCGACCATGAGATTAACCCAGCAGGTGTTAAAGTCTGGATTGCAAAAATAGCGCTCATCAGGTTCACTATTATGGAGATGCACCACAATGATCGTGTGAAGCTACATTTCAACATGCAATAAAGTATCCCCGACCCCATATGTGTTTGGAACAATGACATCTACTCAGAGTTGACGACCAATGGGGATTTAATGATTTGAGAGACTTCGCTAAAGATCAATGTCGTCAATGGAGGCATCAATGTGAATTGGTCCTACGGAATCCGGTCTTGCAAGATAACTTAAAACCAATTCTCCAATATTTGAGATGGTACACATCGGTTTCAACAAATCTATTTTTGTCTCAAGAGACATATTTGATCAACCCACGCTAAAGAGTTGCATCATACGCCCAACAATAACCCCAACAACCAACCCCTCAATAATACCAAACCCAACAACAATGTCAACCCACTCAAACCCAAATACCATACACCACCACATCCAGCCCAACTCGTCATCAATTCATGCCACACACATAAACACAATACCAAGAGCATGACCCAACCCACCACCAATAATATGTATCCCCTGCATCCTACCACAACATCGAACACACATATGATACCTCTTCTTCCTACCATACCACCCAACCTACATATAATCAAACATCACACCATCGAAGCACCCAACCATCATACGGGTTTCAGACACCGCAAGAACCGTTACTTCGTTTCTAAAATGATTCAACATCCCGATTCTATCAGCCACCCCACCCACACATATCCCAACCAACAAGACCAAACTTCAACAACATGGGCATCAATCTCTTTGGAAGCACAACACAGTGGAGAGAAATGATTGATGAGATGTATGATCCAAATGTACCATGACCATCACATCAAGCACCTCATCATCAAGCGAGTCAGAGCAGACCCCAAACACCTCATGAAATTCAACATAGAGGGGTGAGGCAAAGGCGAGGGCATTATTGTCATACAGGTGGACGCTTAGGTTGAGGGGGGTGTCTGTAAAATATGTATCTATGCATTGTGAAATTTTAAATATTAATATCAAATACATTTTTTTACATTTATTATTATTTAAAAATTATATTAAAAAAAATAACAACACAACTGTCAAGCCACCTAAGGTGGCACATCTGTAATTGCAAGCTTCTCAAGTCATATTTTAAAGCATTAGTTTTGATGAAGACAACATGGACATCAACATTCAAAGGATGTGCAAAAAGCTTATCAATATCATATACAAGTATTGAAGATTAGAAGAATAATTATTGAAGAATCAACAAATGTCAAATGGTATAAATAATTCTTAATCTTGAATATAGATGTTCACAAAAATTGTATTCATAATCATATACATATCTCACATGTTTAACATTAAGAAAAACTTTGTTTGAAATCTTTTTCAAAAAGTATTTTTGAAAATAAATTTTCAGGAACCGGTTCCTCCCTAACAGGGAACCGGGTTCCAAACTTATTCAAAAAACATGTCCCTGGATTTTGTACCAGAAACCGGGTTGTACCAATAGGGGAACCGGTTCCTGCGTGATATTTTTGAATCTGACTTATAACGTTCACTAAGAACCGGGTTCTGTCAGTGTCGGAATCGGTTCCTAGCGAACCA